TTTAGCTAAGCGGCACGAGTTCCGAAGCAAAGAAGACAAAGAAGTAAAGTAAACATCTGGAATTTTATTCTCCAAAGCAACTTTAGAAAATTTTTCAAAAGTCTCACTATCATGCAAATTACCCCGTTAAAAAGTTTCGAGTTTATTGAAAGTTAGGAAACAACATCTGTGCATTATTCCGTGTAATAGTTATTTTTAATGGTCCCTATTTTATAGGAAAGGATAGTATATATTACAAATCACTCCTGTCGGACCGAACTATTAAACGGAGTTATAAAAGTTCTCGGTAGTCGGGTTACGAGCCTTTCTAACCCCCGTCAGTTTTTAACTCTGAAAACTGCGCCGTGTTTACGATCTGGCGCATGGAAAATTACGTTACGAGTCATTTCCGGCATTAATTCAACGGCACGGGGAGGCTGAATAAAGTTTGACAATAATAAACTAATTTCGATACATGTAATGGGGAATAAATTGTTTTTTAATGGTCCAAATGCCACATTCTTGGGTGAATTCAAATTCAAAAATTGATATTGTAACCCCTTTTGTTAATGAATTAACAAGAGGCCCAAAATATGCTCGGTGTGCTCAGCGAATAAGTACTTATTAGGGGTGAGTTGATAGTTTAATAAGTATAGAATTGCAAGGGCACCAGGCGCCATTGAATTTAAAAAAAATAATAATAAATTACATAAAATATTGGGGTGTGAAAATTCAGAAACACTCCTAAAAAAAAATAAGCAGCAAACGGTAATTGGTAATTCTTCAAAGGAAATAAATAAGGCATATAACTCAACCAAATCCTGACATAGGTAAACCAATAAAACAATTAAGTTTCAAATTAAATTAACGTTTACTTCGCAGCGAAGTCAGAAATCAAGGTTTGAATAATTTCGAAATATAACATCAATTGCAAGTTATAGGACCCAGGGTTAAAAATTGATCAACTTTCGACGTTGCCAGTTCTTACTTAATAATTTTAAATTTCGAGCATGTTGTCCAACCATGACTTCTGTTTAGATTACTGATTGATTATTATTGATAAAATATAATGTTTACTTCTACTAAATTAAACGACGGCTTCTCGGACAAAAATATATTTCAAAAAAACAAAAATTACAAGTGTCTTTCGACAAGACCGTCACGAGACTACCTGCTACCTGCGTTTATCTTTTGACCCTTCAAGGGAAAAAGGGTCCCTCTCAAAAGTGTGAATCAAGCAAAAATGGGCTTCGAACTTGTACAAACAAGCAATAAATTCCCATAAAAGGCAGGCAGCAGCAACTATGATATGATAATTTTCCACCATACAAATGCAAAGGGCTGCTGGGTAAAAAGTAAGCGGTTTGCTTATTTTTTTATCATCAACTTCTAATGATAAGTACATTATTTAAATATGGCGGTACTAAAAGTTAAGTAAAAAAAAAATCCGGTAAATCAAAAATCGGAAATAATTATTTAAAGTTCACTAGGGTGTCAAGAATATTATGAATGAAATTGAAATTTTAAAAATTTGAATGAAATGCCGGTAAAAATTCAATCATTTATGGTAATTGATCATAAAGTAAATTTCATAGAAAAAGTAATAAAGTTTACCTATAAATGAAACTTTATAGAAGCCTCCATTCCAACAAAAAGGTAGAGAGCACGGTAGCCATCCATTCTCGGCCACTTGACGAGTGAGTGGCAAGTGGAAGTTGCAGATTCTAGCCTCGAATCAAGGTAGATAGAGACTAGAAGTTCTCAGTTGTCGTAAAATGCGGGGCCCACGTATTGACTCGTGAGGGTCTTGATTCCTGTAGGACTCCTTTCAAAAGCTCTATGCCACGCTCTACGGAAATGGTGTTCTTTCTAAAAATGTAGCCTTTAGGAATGGATTTGCTGACCATTACGTAAAAAAAAAATAGTTATCTATGTATCAAGGGTACTAAGTAGATGATTATGCCCTGAGGGCGACAGTCTTACAAAGCCGAGGGCCTCAGGCCCGAGGGTTCGTAAGTCGCCCGAGGGTATATATATCTATTAGTACCCGTGGTGCATACAAACTTTCATGTCATACCAGTTGGTTGTGAATAATAAATAGCTGGAAAAAAAGTGTCACTTCGCAAATTGTCATCAGTGTGCAAACATCATCATTTTTTGACTAAAATAATATGTTTAAACTTAAGCGTAAATTTTTATTTTGTTAATAAAGAATAAGTTAATTGAAAACTGTTTTTTGCGTCTTTATGCCCGCGCGGGCCATAATGTGTACTTTATGCCCGCACGGGCATAAAGTAATGAATTATGTAGATGGTATCTAAGGTATAACAACACAATAATGTATTGGTATGACATAAAAAAAATTAAAACACTTACTACGAGGGGGTTGGAAATTCAAACTCAAATAAAATGGTAAACAAGACTTTTGATTTAAATTTTTTCGGTAATCAACGGATTATCACCTTACGTAACTTTATTTCGTGAAGATAATGCATGAAGGCCGATAAGGTACTTCATTTTCCACGAGCACGGTTGTCTCTGGAAGATGGCGGTTTTCACCCCCGGATCGACTTTTCAGCTCGATGGCACAATTTGGAAAGACTAGAGAAATGAAACGGACGTGAGCAGACAGCGCTACCCCTTCAAATAGTCAACGGAAAACGTTGGTACTAAACCGGTACGTCAAATTTAAATGAAACTCGTGTCCTCTAGTGTAATAATTTAATAATTGCTAATATTATAAGTAGCAGAAACCCTTTTTTTAATGCTAGTCACCAAACTGTCAACATTAAAAAGGTAATATAAAATTAAATTAGAAAGAAAAAGGAACAAGTAACATTTGCGATGTTACAATGTTACAATATATCATAATACAGTGATCCAAACTTTTGTTATTTTTCATTTGGAGAAAGCTGCAGATAATATCAAATTAAGTACATTGTGGGCCGATACTTTTAGTGCCGCTACTTTTGCTCTCATTTGACAGCCGTTAAAAATAATCAGGGGTTTGAATGTACTCTAACCACATCATACTTATAGACCTTGACCCATGCAAAATTTTGACGACGTTTCAAATTCGTTAATCGAGAGCCAAAGTATCGGCCCTTAGTCTCAATAGGGAAGTTGCAAGTGAACTCAAATTTTCCAAATTTGTTTTAAATCGGTAGTTTATACTGCACAATATTTATATGACCAGTTTTTATTTAACTGATACCGCCCTTGTTACACAAAAAGTAATACTTAATTTGAAATAAAAATTTTCCCGCCAAAACAATGCTTTCATGATGGCTACCTTTTTGACATCACGATTCTGTAAACAAACCTGTCAATAGGAAACTTGCAAATAAAAAAAAATAAATTCAAAAGCAGTCCTTTACAATATTCTTCATCCATTGGGACAATTTTCACAAAAAGAAAACTCTAACACACTTGAATAACACAAAAATAGCACTGCGTTAGCAGGAGTTCGTTCGCTGCATATTTGTTGTTTACAAAATCTTAACGTCACAAGCGCTGTCATATTGAGATTTCGTGTTTTCGCGCCAAAGTTTTTAATTTGAATTTCAATAAATTTTTTTTCGTACAAGATGTAAATTAAAATGGAAAAAAAGAAGACTATGTAATAACTGATGACTAGAAGTATCTAAAAAAAAAATAATTTGAGAAATATGAAAATTCCCTATTAACGAATTTGGAATGTCGTTAAATTTGACAAGGTTTTGCATGGGCCAAGGTGTCTATAAGTGAGATGTGGTTAGAGCACATTCAAACCCCTGATTATTTTAATGACTATTAAATTCCAAAACTCACAATAAAAGTACCGGCACTGTATGTCATATCCAAAAAGGTTATGGAATACGCTAGTGAATAAAGATTTTAGTACCTAGGTAATAAAGATTAGTTGCCCAGTGAAAAATGGTTCGAAATATGGGCAAGAAGATTTTAATATTTTTGCATGTTGAAGTTCATGCAAAAATATGTTGTGACAAAAAATAATCTAAATGACCTTAATTTCCTAAGTAAAACAAGTTCTTATTCAAGATGACAAAAATTGTTGATAATTTTTCTAGGCAGCTATCACCAATTTTGTTTCTAAAATAGAGGTTTCACCAACAAAGTTAAATGCGACTTCATATCGTTTAGTCAGTAACTTCAATCAAGTTATCTCATCCCCCTTATCACACACACACGGCGGCGTCGCATGACCCTCAGTAGAGAACCTACTGCTATAAGAAAGAAACGGGATCCAAGAATTACGGTTGATTACGTATCCAGTCCCCGTTTGGCATGGAATTGGTTCAAATCGAGGCGCCAAATTAGGCAAATCGCAGTTTTTGCACGCGTCAGCTAAATTGCCGATGTTGGGACTCTTTTTCTTGCCTTGGTTGATGATATTTTTACGATTTTATTAGGGAGGCCTCGGTGAAGGGATGTTCACTTTTCATTGATTGCTTCCAACCTGGATCGGTTTTAATCAGCGCGACAATTTAAAAACTGTCTCGATATTTCACGTATTTCTTTAATCATTGAATAGGCCTGAGCAGAGAAAATATATGAAATTTAGGCGAATGCTGTTTTTTATATGAAAAATACGTTGACGTAATATCTACAGGACGAAAGCTATCGAAGCGAAGTTGGGAAACTCGACCAAGAATTATTGTTTTTCGATATATGAAACTGACTTTTATTTCCGTGCGCATTAAACCAACTGTTGAAGTTGAAGTTATATTTTCGATTTTCTGCATTTTCCTTAGTGTACCTTGTCCATGTTATTTTTCTGGTCTCTTAACTTGTTTTTTTTTGGGTGAAAACATTACCTTCACTTCTATACGTTCTAGGTAGTTTTGGATCCGATGTTTATCATTTCTTTATTTAACCTTTATTACTGATATCGCCACCTTTTATTCTCATTTGTATTCGGTCTTTGAAAACTTTCTGGTTCAACAAGCATACGCAAACATAAAACTACAAAGTAAAATACGATATTGAATATATTTCAAAATGTATTATTCTTATTTCAGCTCAGTACACAACGAATGACCTAGGTGATGGATTGGGTACCGGCACTTCCAAGCTACAATTAACTTTGTCCAGAGGTGATTTAAATGCCAGATTCGAATGTCGAGTGGAAAGCGAAGCTTTGGATGGACCTATTGTATCCTGGGTCACCGCCGATGTGCATGGTGAGTAAATATTCAATTCAATTATCTAGGCTCCTTATAGCCCGGGAGCCAGCAGGGCTGGGACTCTGTAACGGATAGAGATATTTTCTTTATCTCTATTGACGTCCCCTCTCTATTGATTTCGAAAAGAGAGAAGAAGACAGCAAGTGCCACAGCGATAGGGATAACGATTTTATCATTTACGGAGTCCCAGCCCAGGGGCCTTTTTGAACATTATTTCATGTTACTGGAGGTAGATACCATCTAGCGAATGATGAAAACGACCGTCAGCTGGTCCAGTAGCGGTGGATGCGAACGTAGAAGGTTACGAAACGCGTCGAATTTTTTTTTTCACAAAATCAATTTATATCGGATGAAATTTTTTTGGTTGTTATTGGCATTTATTTGGATACAAAAAAAAAACAGCTGTGCAGTAGAGGGGGGAAATATGTCAGCTGAGAGGGGGAACTTGTGAGAAAAATAATGGAGTAAAATCATTTTATGGCGATTGAAATTTTTTTACATGATTTTGGGTATATAGTATTTGTAATACCCATTTAGAATAATCCCATCCTTATTTATTAATCTCGAATCAGATTAAACAAAAAATTACCAACAAAAACGAACGTCGATTGCTAATGCGTCAATTTCATCTACAAATAGGAAATTCCTAACCTTATATTATTTGTGTGTCAAGAAGCGACATACGTTTTGTCACTGAAACGACAGGTACTTCTAAATAGGTATTAAAAATACTAATGGCCGTTTGCACCGACCGTTTTAAGGGAGGCTTAGCGATAAGTATTTCTTAAAATGACAGTTTTACATGTAAAAATGTCACTTTAAGGAATACTTATCGTTAAGCTCTCCTTAAAATGGTTGGTGCAAACGGCCCTTAATCTCCTGATTTAACCCAACTTTATATGGAATATATGTACAGGGTGTCCCACAATCAGCGTTACAGACCATAACTTTCTTATTTTTAGAAATAAAAATTTGAAACAAAAAAAGTAACTAATGGTTAGTTAACCTTTTTCCAAAAATATAAAAAAATCTTCCCCTGACAAAATCATCCCCTATTTACAACCCTTGACATTTTTTTTTCAAATGGCACCCCTATTATTTATTTTTATTTTTGAGAAGCTCATGAAATTGCAAATTCAATGATGTATGGAAAGTTTGTTTCTCCCAATGACATCAAAACACAGATAGACGGATCATCCCATTCATAAACTGATATTTGTTGTGTTGACAAGACCACCCATGGGCCAGGGGAGGTGAGTTGCTCGCGGGGTCGGGGTAGGGAGACATCATTGCTCAAAATGGTGTAAAAAACCCCGCCCACACGTGAATATATCTCGAAATTTAATTGGATGAATAAATAAAATAACAAATTGACAAATAAACTGAAAATATTCGATACGAGCCCTTTATTCTGGGAGTACCAATATCGTGTTAGTCGTTTCTTGTTTAACGCTAATGAATAATCCCTGTTTGCAATAAAGATAGCTAGCTACTACAATCAACACCTGCCTGCCATGCAACAAGCCGCTTCTGGGCGGTGTTTTGCTTTAATCTGCTGTTGCCAAATTGAGTTCAGAAATAAAATTGAAAATGTTAATTAGAGGAGAAAAATATATTATTTAGGGATTCAAGACAAAATTTGGCATTCTCAGTGGTGGGGATAGCACAAAGACCCAAAAGAGACAGAGAGATGTTGTCATACGAAAATTTTGTTTATTGTTCGGTCTATCTGTGTTTTGATGTCATTGGTTTCTCCATGTTTCCTAGGAAAAAAAAATCAAAAATGTAAATGATAAAAATGGGGTTCTATTTGAAAAAAAAAGGCAAGAGTTGTTTTAAGGGGATGAGTTTGCTAGGGAAATTTTTTTTAAATATTTTTAAAGAGGGATTAATTTGCACACATTTAATTTTTTTTTGTTATATTTGTATTTTTGTAGATAAAAAAGTGATCGCCTGTGTAAGGCTAATGGTGGAACATCCATTCTTTTTCCCCAAAAAGATATGGAAAAACAAACTTTTTAAACATCATTGAATTTGTAATTTCATGAGATTCTGAAAAATAAAAAAAATATATAGGGGTGCCATTTGAAAAAAAAAAGTCAAGGGTTGTAAATAGGGGATGATTTTGCCAGGGGAAGATTTTTTTATATTTTTGAAGAGAGCTTTACTAGCCATTATTATTTTATTTTTTTCAAATTTTTATTTCTGAAAATGAGAAAGTTATGGCCTGTAACGCTGATTGTGGGACACCCTGTATATGGATTTTTTGACTTTGAATTTTTTTTTTCTTCAGATTTTTTGAGTTTTTGACTTTGAATATAATATGGAAATATAATAATGATAATCAGCTACGTTTCTAGCGGTGGAAATACCGTCAGCCGAAGCAAGAATGTATCATTGCGTTTATATATCAGGGCGACCCGCAGTATTTTCAATGGTCCGACTGACGACTTTTCCCCCAACAGACAATCAGCCAAAAAATATTTTTTCATTTTTATTTATTAACACTATAAGATTTATAAATTTCAAACAGTCTTTCACCAATTTACCAAAGATACGTAGGTACAAGTAAAAGTGGCAAAATTATAACACGTTTTAGATCAATGTGGAATATTCGGATTCATTACATCTACATTCGAATTTATTTATTATTAACATAATTAACGTACGTGGTGAAATCTATATATATAAAACACAGTTGTGTTGGTGTGGAAGCGCATATAACTCGAGAACGGCTGGACTGATTTTTATGATTTTTGCTATATTCGATTTGTCTTTGTCCATCCGTGGTCCATCCTAACATAATAAATCGAAAAAATCAAAAAAAAAAAAAAAAAAATTATCTATTTTACTTATTTATGAAAAAAACTCACTAAGCCCGCATACGGCGCCATCTCTTATAACCGATACCAAGTTTACCGTCACATTCCGAAAGAGCGCGAACTGGTCTCCCTGTCATTTCTTGACGCTTGACCATTGACGTTCTGTGGCTAAGTTTCGTTTCTCCTCTCAGGCATCCCTTGACAGCCGTGTTCCGTGCCGACTGTTCGGAGTGCTCCGTCCGGCTGGTGTCGAGTGGCAGAGAGCCAGGTTATGAGTCCGCCACAACCATTTTGTATACGGCGCCATATATGATACCTAGAACGAAGCTCACCGATGCGCGGTAATTTCATTGCAGATGCAGTAGAACCATGCTGCTCAGGAACTGGAGATATTTAGAACAGAACTATTCCACTATTCTGATCAGATAGAGTGATGCAGAAATAGTAGATCAGATAGAATAGTGCAGATAGAGTAGAACAGATGGAGTAGTGCAGTGCAGATAGAGTGATACAGGGCTGCGCTGTAGATTTTTTTTTTGTTTTATTTACATCCTTTGAACATTCCTGTGCCTGAGTTTATTTATTTGGTGGTATACTTCACAAGAAAAATGCCCACAAGCTACCTTGAAAGGGATGATGTTAAATTTTAATTTTATCTGACTTCTGATCTAGAGAGTAAACATTAATATTCTTCAACCAAAGCCAAATTCACCATCCGAAAAAAAACTGAATTTAATTCAGCTAATAGATACGTTAACACAACATTTAATAGGTATTTAATAATTCAGAGGCGCTACGAAGTTCGCCGGGTCAGCTAGTACATAATAGAACAAATATTTTTATTAATTCTCATCTTTGTCACTTGTTTCACTGTCATCATCGGACTTATCGATACAGACACCATCTTCCTAGGTTTCATCGTCGTCTGTGAAAATATAAATGAATTAAGGAAATCATGTAAGTCAATGTTACTTGCCTAGGATAAGGATTAACAAATGTGTTCATACCCAGGAGGGCTTGTGTCGAGATTGGAGATGCTAGTGATGGTTGGCGGCAATTGATCTCCCACAAACCATTTGAAGATATTCGTTTCATCACTTTCTTCCCATCATACTCAGTTGGTAATAAGTCGGGTGGCATTGGGAGATGAGCATGACTCCAAAGGTGGGCGATGTATGCCGTGCGTAAAACATGTTGCTACAGCTCTGCTTTACAGGGCGGGAACAATGAACCAACAATTATTTTTCTCAGATTGAGTGGATTGGAGTTATCGTGAATGTAGCAACACGAGCAACATCGATGTCATCAACTCCTGTCAGTCCATATATATATTCGGCAAACATACCCTTGAAGTGTTACAAACAATTCATCGAGGTCACAATTCCGAATTTGGAAAGGTTTTTTTCCTGCCTTTGCGGTGGAACGCTGAATTAAAATCGCAGCCCGTTAAGGCGTGAATTGCTGGCAATGCAGAGCACAAATTGGTAACCAATGTTTCATGTTCATTATTTCAATTAACTTGAAACGAATCTATTCATTCATCAAAAAATTACAAACCAAAAAAAATAACAGAAAATTGAAATCCTCGTCAGAGCTGTTCATCTTAAAGCGTTTAAATTTGATCCGAAAGAAGTTTATAGATTCTTGCATGTAAATGGAGAACACAAATCTGACAATGTGTCAAAGTTAATTATATTCAGTGTTTGATAGATGTTGGCCGATAGAAACAGAAAAAATTTGGATCAGAAGTCACCTAAAATTAAAATTTTACATCATCCCTTTTTAGGCAGCTTGTGGGCATTATTCTTGTAAAGTGTACCATCAGATAAATAAACTCAGGCACAGGAATGTTCAAAGAATGTATAGAAAACAAAAAAATCTCCAGCGCAGCCCTGTTTCACTCTATCTGCACTGCACTACTCCATCTGTTCTACTCTATCTGCACTATTCTATCTGTTCTACTCTCTCTGCACCACTCTATCTGATCGGAATAGTGGAATAGTTCTCTTCGGAATAGCTCGAGTTCCTGAGTAGCATTGTTCTACTGTATCTGCAATGAAATTACCGCGCAACGGCGAGCTTCGTTCTAGGTATCAGAGATAGCGCCGTATACAAAATGGTTTGCAATGAAAATGTGGCGGTAAACTTGGTATCGGTTATAAGAGATGGCGCCGT